ATCTGGCAGACACTGGAGTTGTGGTCACTATTCCACTATAAAGAGATACTTGTACAAATATGGTCTTCATGGAAGAGTCATCAGAAGAAAACCTCTTCTACGTCCTCACCACAAAAATCATCGTTTGAACTTTGCAAATGAACATATAGACAAGCCTGATGCATTTTGGAAACAAGTTCTGTGGACCGATGAGGTTAAAATTGAACTTTTTGGCCGGAATGAGGAAAGGTACGTTTGGAGAAGAAGGGGCACAGAATTGAATGAAAAGAACCTCCGTCCAACTGTGAAGCATGGGGTTGGATCAATCATGCTTTGGGGTTGTGTTGCAGCCAGTGGCACAAGGAACATCTCACGAGTAGAAGGAAAAATGGATTCAATACAATTTCAGCAAACTTTGGATGGTAACTTGATGCCATCTGTGAAAAAGCTGAAGTTAAAGAGAGGATGGCTTCTACAAATGGATAATGATCCTAAACACACCTGGAAATCCACGGGGGATTACATCAAGAGGTGTAAACTGAAGGTTTTGCCATGGCCTTCACAATCTCCTGACCTCAACATCATTGAAAATCTATGGATAGACCTTCAAAGAGCCGTGCGTGACAGACAGCCCAGAAATCTCAAAGAACTGGAAGACTTTTGTAAGGAAGAATGGTCAAAGATACCTCAAACAAGAATTGAAAGACTCTTGGCTGGCTACAAAAAGCGTTTACAAGCCGTGATACTTGCCAAAGGGGGCAGTACAAGATATTAACTCTGCAGGGGGCCCAAACTTTTGCAGACGCCATTTTTTTTGTTTTCTGTTATTTTGAAAGTGTAAATGATGGAAATAAAATCTAACTTTTGTTGACATATTATAAGAATGTCTAATCTGTAATTTGATGCCTTTTGGAGATTTTTCCATCTTTCCTTGGCTTCTTTATGCACATTAATACACATTTTTAGCTGGGGTGCCCAAGCTTTCCATCCCCACTGTACATGACATTGTGTCCTGAGTCGTTTTTGGAAATGTTCTCTCATTCTCCTCCAGATCACTGACATTTCTACATTGTCTTCCAGGTCATTTCAATGGTGTTCTCCGTGCGCATCATATCAGTCTGGCTTCCACTTGCATGACATTGTATTTTGTCCTTCAGGGTTCCTCATATGATATTTAAGTCCCAGTCTAGGACACTGCGTTCCGGGTATTTGCTGGTGATGATCTCAGTCCACTCTGTCCCTCAGGATTCCTCATATGATATTTGTTCCACATCCAGGAGAAGGGCTCTGAGTATTTGCTGATGATGTTCTCCATTCTATGGCCCTATGACATTGTATTTTGTCCTTCAGGGTTCCTCATATAATATTTAGGTCCCAGTCCAGGACACTGGGTTCCGGGTATTTTCTGGTGATGATCTCAGTCCACCCTATGTCCCTCATGATATTTTATATGATATTAGTTTCAGGTCCTGGACACTGCATTCCGGGTATTTGCTGGTGATGATCTCAGTCCACTCTGTCCCTCAGGGTTCCTCATATGATATTTAGGTCCATGGGTTCCGGGTATTTGCTGGTGATTTAGGTCCCCAGGGAGGTCCAGGACACTGGGTTCCGGGTATTTGCTGGTGATGATCTCAGTCCACCCTATGTCCCTCAGGGTTCCTCATATGATATTTAGGTCCAGGATACTGGGTTCCGGGTATTTTCGGGTGATGATCTCAGTCCATTCTATGTCCCTCAGGGTTTCTCATATGATATTTGGGCCCAGGACACTGGGTTCTAGGTATTTGCTGGTGATGGGTCCCTCAGGATTCCCATATGATATTTAGGTCCAGGACACTGGGTTCTAGGTATTTGCTGGTGATGATCTCAGTCCACCCTATGTCCCTCAGGGTTCCTCATATGATATTTAGGTCCAGGATACTGGGTTCCGGGTATTTCGGGTGATGATCTCAGTCCATTCTATGTCCCTCAGGGTTTCTCATATGATATTTGGGCCCAGGTCCAGGGCTTTAAGTTCCAAGTATTTACGGGTGTTGATCTCAGTCCATTTTATTTCCCTCAGGGTTCCTCATATGATATTTAGTTCCAGGACACTGGGTTCTGGGTATGTGCTGGTGATGATCTCAGTCCACTCTATGGCCCTCAGGGTTCCTTATATGATATTTACTGTAGGTCTAGGTCCAGGACACTGCATTCCGGGTATTCGGGTTCCTCATATGATATTTGTTCCACATCCAGGACACGGGCTCTGAGTATTTGCTGATGTTCTCCATTCTATGGCCCTCAGGGTTCCTCATATGATATTTAGGTCCAGAACACTCAGTTCTGGGTATTTTCTGGTGATAATCTCAGTCCAGTCTATGTCCCTCAGAGTTCCTCATATGATATTTAGGTTCAGGTCCAGGACACTGGGTTCCAGGTATTTGCTGGTGATAATCTCAGTCCAATCAATGTCCCTCAAGGTTCCTGATATGATATTTAGTTCCAGGTTAAGGAAACTGGCTTCCGGGTATTTGCTGGTGATAATCTCAGTCCACTCTATGTCCTTCATGGGTTCCTCATGATATTTAGGTCCAGGACCCTGGGCTCCGGGTATTTGCTGGTGATAATCTCAGTCCACTCTATGTCCTTCATGGGTTCCTCATGATATTTAGGTCCAGGACCCTGGGCTCCGGGTATTTGCTGGTGATAATCTCAGTCCACTCTATGTCCATCATGGGTTCCTCATGATATTTAGTTCCAGGACCCTGGGCTCCGGGTATTTGCTGGTGATAATCTCAGTCCACTCTATGTCCATCATGGGTTCCTCATGATATTTAGGTCCAGAACCCTGGGCTCCGGGTATTTGCTAGTGATGATCTCACTCCATTCTATGTCCCTCAGGGTTCCTCATATGATATTTAGGTCCAGGACATTGGGTTCCGGGTATTTGCTGGTGATAATGTCAGTCCATTCTATGTCCCTCAGGGTTCCTCATATGATATTTAGGTCCAGGACCCTGGGCTCCGGGTATTTGCTAGTGATGATCTCACTCCATTCTATGTCCCTCAGGGTTCCACATATGATATTTAGGTCCAGGACATTGGGTTCTGAGTATTTGCTGGTGATGATCTCACTCCATTCTATGTCCCTCAGGGTTCCTCATATGATATTTAGGTCCAGGACATTGGGTTCTGAGTATTTGCTGGTGATGATCTCACTCCATTCTATGTCCCTCAGGGTTCCTCATATGATATTTAGGTCCAGGACATTGGGTTCCGGGTATTTGCTGGTGATAATGTTAGTCCATTCTATGTCCCTCAGGGTTCCTCATATGATATTTAGGTCCAGGACATTGGGTTCTGAGTATTTGCTGGTGATGATCTCACTCCATTCTATGTCCCTCAGGGTTCCTCATATGATATTTAGGTCCAGGACATTGGGTTCCGGGTATTTGCTGGTGATAATGTCAGTCCATTCTATGTCCCTCAGGGTTCCTCATATGATATTTAGGTCCAGGACATTGGGTTCCGGGTATTTGCTAGTGATAATGTCAGTCCATTTTATGTCCCTCAGGGTTCCTCATATGATATTTAGGTCCAGGACATTGGGTTCCGGGTATTTGCTGGTGATAATGTCAGTCCATTCTATGTCCCTCAGGGTTCCTCATATGATATTTAGGTCCAGGACATTGGGTTCTGAGTATTTGCTGGTGATGATCTCACTCCATTCTATGTCCCTCAGGGTTCCTCATATGATATTTAGGTCCAGGACATTGGGTTCCGGGTATTTGCTGGTGATAATGTCAGTCCATTCTATGTCCCTCAGGGTTCCTCATATGATATTTAGGTCCAGGACATTGGGTTCCGGGTATTTGCTAGTGATAATGTCAGTCCATTTTATGTCCCTCAGGGTTCCTCATATGATATTTAGGTCCAGGACATTGGGTTCCGGGTATTTGCTGGTGATAATGTCAGTCCATTCTATGTCCCTCAGGGTTCCTCATATGATATTTAGGTCCAGGACATTGGGTTCCGGGTATTTGCTGGTGATAATGTCAGTCCATTCTATGTCCCTCAGGGTTCCTCATATGATATTTAGGTCCAGGACATTGGGTTCCGGGTATTTGCTGGTGATAATGTCAGTCCATTCTATGTCCCTCAGGGTTCCTCATATGATATTTAGGTCCAGGACATTGGGTTCCGGGTATTTGCTGGTGATAATGTCAGTCCATTCTATGTCCCTCAGGGTTCCTCATATGATATTTAGGTCCAGGACATTGGGCTCCGGGTATTTGCTAGTGATGATCTCACTCCATTCTATGTCCCTCAGGGTTCCTCATATGATATTTAGGTCCAGGACATTGGGTTCCGGGTATTTGCTGGTGATGTTTAAATGTTTTGTTCCTCTAGGATTTCACATCTATGACATTGAACTCCGAGTCAGTGCCGGGGATATTCTCAGTCTGGAGAGTTTCTTCAAAGCCTGGTTATTTGAATCCAATTGTGAGAGGGAAGAGGTCCGCCTGATCTTTCCTAAGGGAGATAGTAAGTGTGAGTGTAGAATATTCTATCATTATATATTGGGGGGGGGGTCATCCATACGGGGGAGGGGGGATGGTGTTATACTGAATGTAAAGGTTTTGCTGAGTGTGAATGTTCAATATTCTAGCATTATATGGGGGGTCATTCACACTCGGGGGGGAACCTTACCTTGCAATTATTCATCTTGAACTGACCCCATAACATGAATCTTGATTCCTCTCCTACAGTACAGATCATCTGTGATGTGCACCAAACTCTGCTGTCCCCCAGTCTCCTGCTCAGTGGTCTCCCCCATGATGGTGAACAGGAACAGACACCTGGAGTCCCCCAGACAATCCGAATTCTCCGGTACAGTAGGAGCCATTATGTCTGATACCAGGTTGCCTGACCTTCCTCTGGACATAGGAGGTGACTGTAATCATCTCTCCTTCTAGAGCTCTGTCCTCACAGGGAGTTTGTGGCTCCATGTTGTATGGACTTCCATCAATTCTCAACCCCACTGCATGCTGGGAACTGGACTGGGATCAACTGGAATCCAACCAGGAGAATTTCCAGGCCTTGTGCCACTGTCTACAGGTGGGCATGATGGATGGTGGTATGAGTTGGGTAGTCCCAGTAGGGTGGCTCCCTCCCATAGGTGGTCCCAGTAAGATGACACCCTCCTGTAGGTGGTCCCAGTAGGATTGTGCTTTCCTGTAGGCAGCCCCAGTAGGATGGCACCCTCCTGTAGGTGGTCCTGGCAGGATGATGCTCTCCTGTAGCTGATCCCAGTAAGATGGTGCCCTCTGGTAGGTGGTCCCAGTAGGATGGCTCCCTTCTGTAGGTGGTCTCAGTATCAGTACTCTCATGTAGGTGGTCCCAGTATGAGAGTGCCCTCCTGTAGGTGGGCCAAGTATCAACACCCTCATATAGATGGGGTCCCATTATGATATCATCCTCTTGTAGTGGGTCTCAGTAGGATGGCGCCTTCCTGTAGGTGGTCCCAGTATGATAGCACCCTCTTGTAATGGGTTCCAGTAGGATGGGCATCCTCCTGTAGGTGGTCCCAGTATGATAGCACCCTCTTGTAGTGGGTTCTCAGTAGGATGGCATCCTCCTGTAGGTGGTCCCAGTATGATAGCACCCTCTTGTAGTGGGTCTCAGTAGGATGGCGCCTTCCTGTAGGTGGTCCCAGTATGATAGCACCCCTTGTAGTGGGTCTCAGTAGGATGGCATCCTCCTGTAGGTGGTCCCAGTATGATAGCACCCTCTTGTAGTGGGTCTCAGTAGGATGGCGCTTCCTGTAGGTGGTCCCAGTATGATAGCACCCTCTTGTAATGGGTTCCAGTAGGATGGCATCCTCCTGTAGGTGGTCCCATTATGATAGCACCCTCTTGTAGTGGGTCTCAGTAGGATGGCGCCTTCCCGTAGGTTGTCCCATTATGATAGCATCCTCTTGTAGTGGGTCTCAGTAGGATGGCATCCTCCTGTAGGTGGTCCCAGTATGATAGCACCCTCTTGTAGTGGGTCTCAGTAGGATGGCATCCTCCTGTAGGTGGTCCCAGTATGATAGCACCCTCTTGTAGTGGGTCTCAGTAGGATGGCGCCTTCCTGTAGGTGGTCCCAGTATGATAGCACCCTCTTGTAGTGGGTCTCAGTAGGATGGCATCCTCCTGTAGGTGGTCCCAGTATGATAGCACCCTCTTGTAATGGGTTCCAGTAGGATGGCATCCTCCTGTAGGTGGTCCCAGTATGATAGCACCCCTCTTGTAATGGGTTCCAGTAGGATGGCATCCTCCTGTAGGTGGTTCGATTAGAATCTTCCCAGCTCAGCACTGTTGGCGGTGCTCTGATGGACTTGACGTTGATGTTTTGAAGAATTCCGGATGGAATATTTCCGTCGGGCTGGAGTCCCATTTGGGTTGGTCTGGGTAGGTGAGAGGACCCCAAACCTCACTGCCATAAAGAAGGATTGGGGTGATGACACTTGGAGATTTTAGGCCGGACAAAAAGGCAGAAGTGAGCCCCCCCACCATGGGTGGTGAACTACTTCAGCAGCTTGCAAGTCTTGCCATTTTTGCCCCCCTCCATTCTGCTGAAGCCCAAGGAGGTCACCCCTTGTGGCAAACCTTTGTTGTGGCCCCTCTGTATGAGTTCCTCTATATCTCTATCCTCCCCTCCTCTTCCCCTCCCCATCTTTTTTTCACTATTTTTTCAAATTCTCTGTCTTTTAGAGCCGAGCGCTGTCCCTCCTGGGGTGCAGTAGTCAGCGATCTGTGGCGTGGGCCCCTTCGGTCTTGTCGCATTTTATTGTGTCTGCTTCAGAATCGATGGCTTTACTACTTCGTCCGGTGGCTGTCAGGGAACTCGTCCTTCTGATGAAACCACCAACACTTCCTGGAGCTGTAACTGATGGCGCCCTTCACCGAGTCCAGGTATGGAGGGGGGTCCACGGGGCATTCTACTACATTCATACCAGATGAGCATTGGATACAAATACTGATACATCAGGGTAGGGCCGTACACACATGTAGATACACCGGGGGAGGGCCGTACACACATGGATACATCGGGGGAGGGCCGTACACACATGGATACACTGGGGGAGGGCCGTACACACATGGATACACTGGGGGAGGGCCGTACACACACATGGATACACCGGGGGAGGGCCGTACACACACATGGATACACTGGGGGAGGGCCGTACACACACATGGATACATCGGGGGGGCCGTACACACACATGGATACACCGGTGGGAGGGCCGTACACACACATGGATACACGGGGGGAGGGCCGTACACACACATGGATACACTGGGGGAGGGCCGTACACACACATGGATACATCGGGGGAGGGCCGTACACACACATGGATACACGGGGGAGGACCATACACACACATGGATACACCGGGGGAGGGCCGTACACACATGGATACACTGGGGGAGGGCCGTACACACACATGGATACACGGGGGAGGGCCGTACACACACATGGATACACGGGGGAGGACCATACACACACATGGATACACCGGGGGAGGGCCGTACACACACATGGATACACTGGGGGAGGGCCGTACACACACATGGATACACCGGGGGAGGGCCGTACACACACATGGATACACCGGGGGAGGGCCGTACACACATGGATACACCGGGGGAGGGCCGTACACACACATGGATACACCGGGGGAGGGCCGTACACACACATGGATACACTGGGGAGGGCCGTACACACATGGATACATCGGGGGAGGGCCGTACACACACATGGATACATCGGGGGTAGGGCCGTACACACACATGGATACACCGGGGGAGGGCCGTACACACATGGATACACTGGGGGAGGGCCGTACACACACATGGATACACGGGGGAGGGCCGTACACACACATGGATACATCGGGGGAGGGCCGTACACACACATGGATACACGGGGGGAGGGCCGTACACACACATGGATACATCGGGGGAGGGCCGTACACACACATGGATATACACGGGGGAGGACCGTACACAACATGGATACACGGGGGGAGGGCCGTACACACATGGATACACCGGGGGAGGGCCGTACACACATGGATACACTGGGGGAGGGCCGTACACACACATGGATACATCGGGGGAGGGCCGTACACACACACATGGATACACTGGGGGAGGGCCGTACACACACATGGATACTCCGGGGGAGGGACGTACACACATGGATACTCCGGGGGAGGGACGTACACACATGGATACTCCGGGGGAGGGACGTACACACATGGATACACCGGGGGAGGGCCGTACACACATGGATACTCCGGGGGAGGGACGTACACACATGGATACTCCGGGGGAGGGACGTACACACACATGGATACTCCGGGGGAGGGACGTACACACATGGATACTCCGGGGGAGGGACGTACACACACATGGATACACCGGGGGAGGGACGTACACACACATGGATACTCCGGGGGAGGGACGTACACACACATGGATACACGGGGGAGGGCCGTACACACATGGATACACTGGGGGAGGGCTGTACACACACATGGATACACTGGGGGAGGGCCGTACACACATGGATACATCGGGGGAGGGCTGTACACACATGGATACTCCGGGGGAGGGCTGTACACACACATGGATACTCCGGGGGAGGGACGTACACACACATGGATACACGGGGGAGGGCCGTACACACACATGGATACACTGGGGGACACACACATGGATACACCGGGGGGAGGGCCGTACACACACATGGATACACTGGGGGAGGGCTGTACACACACATGGATACACCGGGGGAGGGACGTACACACACATGGATACACTGGGGGAGGGACGTACACACACATGGATACACCGGGGGAGGGCCGTACACACACATGGATACTCCGGGGGAGGGACGTACACACACATGGATACTCCCGGGGGAGGGACGTACACACACATGGATACTCCGGGGGAGGGACGTACACACATGGATACTCCGGGGGAGGGACGTACACACACATGGATACTCCGGGGGAGGCCGTACACACACATGGATACTCCGGGGGAGGGGGACGTACACACATGGATACATCGGGGGAGGGACGTACACACATGGATACTCCGGGGGAGGGACGTACACACATGGATACATCGGGGGAGGGACGTACACACATGGATACACCGGGGGAGGGACGTACACACATGGATACACCGGGGGGGAGGGACGTACACACATGGATACACCGGGGGAGGGACGTACACACATGGATACACGGGGGAGGGCTGTACACACATGGATACATCGGGGGAGGGACGTACACACATGGATACACGGGGGGGGGGGAGGGCTGTATATTGGGCGGCACACCTGTATAAATAATATAGTATAGTAATCAGTCTTCCAGCTCCGTAGTTGACCCATCTTTCCTGCTCCTGCCCTTAGGAAGCTCTTGGTGGGCTGGAAGTGGATTCGGTGTATAATCCTCTACAGATGAGCAGCAATCTCTACAAACATCTGCAGGTGACACTCTCCCGGCCGACTCCTCCCACACGTCCCATCACACCAATGTTCCGAGGTGGGCGGGGACAGAGCCGCCAGGTGAGACAGGTACGGGAAATGTCAACATCCCGGCTGACCCTTTCACCGTCTTCCATGTGCAGCTTCTTCTCTCATCTTCAGAGTTTTACTTTCTCCCCCATTGAGGAACAAAGAAACTTCGATACATTCTGGTTATACCGCCACGTACAGGAGGGGGGGGACAACACAATAATAGACCAGACCCAGTATAACCCCTCCTACTACCCAGCATGCCTCTGTTTTATGGCGGTATTCTAGCTAGAGGCTAGTTATCTTGTTCTCGGGGGATGGCCGTCTTGTTCTCGGGGGGATGGCCGTCTTGTTCTCGGGGGATGGGCGTCTTGTTCTCGGGGGATGGCCGTCTTGTTCTCGGGGGATGGGCGTCTTGTTCTCGGGGGATGGGCGTCTTGTTCTCGGGGGATGGGCGTCTTGTTCTCGGGGGATGGGCGTCTTGTTCTCGGGGGGATGGCCGTCTTGTTCTCGGGGGATGGACGTCTTGTTCTCGGGGGGATGGCGTCTTGTTCTCGGGGGATGGGCGTCTTGTTCTCGGGGGATGGGCCGTCTTGTTCTCGGGGGATGGGCGTCTTGTTCTCGGGGGGATGGCCGTCGTGTTCTCGGGGGATGGGCGTCGTGTTCTCGGGGGATGGCCGTCGTGTTCTCGGGGGATGGCGTCTTGTTCTCGGGGGATGGGCGTCTTGTTCTCGGGGGATGGGCGTCTTGTTCTCGGGGGATGGGCGGCTTGTTCTCGGGGGATGGGCGGCTTGTTCTCGGGGGATGGGCGGCTTGTTCTGGGGGATGGGCGTCTTGTTCTGGGGGGATGGGCGTCTTGTTCTGGGGGGATGGGCGGCTTGTTCTCGGGGGATGGGCGTCTTGTTCTCGGGGGGATGGGCGTCTTGTTCTGGGGGGATGGGCGTCTTGTTCGGGGGGGGATGGACGTCTTGTTCTCGGGGGATGGGCGTCTTGTTCTCGGGGGATGGGCGTCTTGTTCTCGGGGGATGGGCGTCGTGTTCTCGGGGGGATGGCCGTCGTGTTCTCGGGGGATGGGCGTCTTGTTCTCGGGGGATGGGCGTCTTGTGTTCTCGGGGGATGGGCCGTCGTGTTCTCGGGGGATGGGCGTCGTGTTCTCGGGGGATGGGCGTCGTGTTCTCGGGGATGGGCGTCTTGTTCTCGGGGGATGGGCGTCTTGTTCTCGGGGGATGGGCGTCTTGTTCTCGGGGGATGGGCGTCGTGTTCTCGGGGGGATGGGCGTCGTGTGTTCTCGGGGATGGCCGTCTTGTTCTCGGGGGATGGCGCGTTGTTCTCGGGGGATGGCCGTCTTGTTCTCGGGGGATGGGCGTCGTGTTCTCGGGGGATGGCCGTCGTGTTCTCGGGGGATGGCCGTCTTGTTCTCGGGGGATGGCCGTCTTGTTCTCGGGGGATGGGCGTCTTTTTCTCGGGGGATGGGCGTCTTGTTCTCGGGGGATGGGCGTCTTGTTCTCGGGGGATGGGCGTCGTGTTCTCGGGGGATGGGCGTCGTGTTCTCGGGGGATGGGCGTCGTGTTCTCGGGGGATGGGGTCAGGTTGAAATAAAAAGGCAATATCCATCTGGTTCCACCGATAAGTTTGGGTGTTTCTGGGCTGCTCACCTCCCAGGTGGACATTCTGATTGTATCTGAATTCCTTTGTCAATGGATGAGAATGAAAAGAGGAGATTTTTGTACTTATCGGAAAATCCATTTCTTGGAGTGTTGAAGGTCCCGACCCTCCGGGTGTTCTCTTCATATCCATACCCCGCTCCTCCTCCTGGGACCCCGCTTCCTGGATGACTCCTCCTCCTGGATCCATACCCCGCTTCCTGGATGACTCCCCTCCTGGATCCATACCCCGCTTCCTGGATGACTTCTCCTCCTGGATCCATACCCCGCTTCCTGGATGACTTCTCCTCCTGGATCCATACCCCGCTTCCTGGATGACTTCTCCTCCTGGATCCATACCCCGCTTCCTGGATGACTTCTCCTCCTGGATCCATACCCCGCTTCCTGGATGACTTCTCCTCCCTCCTCCTGGATCCATACCCCGCTTCCTGGATGACTCCTCCTCCTGGATCCATACCCCGCTTCCTGGATGACTTCTCCTCCCTGGATCCATACCCCCCTCTCCTCCTGGATCCATACCCCGCTTCCTGGATGACTCTCCTCCTGGATCCATACCCCGCTTCCTGGATGACTCTCCTCCTGGATCCATACCCCGCTTCCTGGATGACTTCCCTCCTGGATCCATACCCCGCTTCCTGGATGACTTCTCCTCCTGGATCCATACCCCGCTTCCTGGATGACTCCTCCTCCTGGATCCATACCCCGCTTCCTGGATGACTCCTCCTCCTTCCTGGATCCATACCCCGCTTCCTGGATGACTTCTCCTCCTGGATCCATACCCCGCTTCCTGGATGGACTTCTCCTCCTGGATCCATACCCCGCTGACTTCTCCTCCTGGATCCATACCCCGCTTCCTGGATGACTTCTCCTCCTGGATCCATACCCCGCTTCCTGGATGACTTCTCCTCCTGGATGACTTCCTCCTCCTGGATCCATACCCCGCTTGGATGACTTCTCCTCCTGGATCCATACCCCGCTTCCTGGATGACTTCTCCTCCTGGATCCATACCCCGCTTCCTGGATGACTTCTCCTCCTGGATCCATACCCCGCTTCCTGGATGACCTCTCCTCCCCAGGATTCCTGGATGACCTTCTCCTCCGCTTCCTGGATGACCTCTCTCCTCCTGGATCCATACCCCGCTTCCTGGATGACTTCTTCTCCTGGATCCATATCCCGCTGGAGACTTCTCCTCCTGGATCGACATACCCGCTTCCTGGATGACCTTCCTCCTGGATCCATACCCCGCTTCCTGGATGACTTCTCCTCCTGGATACCCTTCTTCCTGGATGACCTCTCTGGCTATACCCACCATCATCCTCCTGGATACCTTCTTCCTCTCTTTACCCAATCATCCCTTGGGGATGTCAAACATCCTGTCGAACCTCGACAACCCGGACACATCCCATCTCCTCCCACTTAACCTCCTCCTTTGCACTTGCACAGTGCATACAATCCACCACCCACTCCAAACGGTAATATCCTGGACCTTGTCTTCTCCAACCGCTGCGCTCTCCCCCACATCCTCACTAACACCCCCTTCCCTCTCTCTGACCACAACCTGATCACCTTCTCTATCTCCTCCCCTCCACTCTGCAGCTGATCAACTCCATGACCGCATCCTCCCCCTGTCCTGCCCCGACTTGGCTATGACCGCCTACAACAACGCGCTGTCAACAGCCCTTGACTCACTAGCGCCTTTAACCACACGCAACATCAGACCCCGACCACTCCAGCCCTGGCAGACTGATCACAGGGCCCATCCAAAACCCTCCAAACGCCTCAGTCGTGCCCCTGGATAAAAAAAAAAAAAAAAAAAAATTTTTATGGAGCAAAACCAAATCCCAACAAGCCTTCACCCCGCTACAGATCTGCCTTCCGCACCTACACCTCCTCCCTCCACGCAGCCAAACAAGCCTACTTCCTGACCCTCATCAAGGCCCTCTCCTCCAAATCCTCGCCGACTCTTCTCCACCTTCAACTCTCTACTCTCTCCACCCCACCTCCACCCAGCACCTCACTCACCGCCCTTGAGATTGCCCAATCACTCCAAAAACAAGATTGACGCAATTCGCAAGGACATCGCCGCAACTCACAACGCCCTCTCTCAACCCGTCCCCTCTCACACAGCTACCCCCTCATCCCCCCTCCCCCTCGACATAACCCGCAGGGACTTTGTCGCTGCTCAAAACTTCCTCCAACCCCCCTTCCCCCTCACTCAGCTACCCCCTCTACACCCCTCTCTCCACTGGCCCCACCACTGCTCTGACCTCCTCTCCCACCCCACCCTACATTCCTCATACTGAAGTCCCCCCAACACTCTCCGCACCTTTGACCTTACTACCATCGAGAAGTCTCCAAGATCCTCTCTGATGCCCGCTTCACCACCTGCCCCCTCGACCCTATCCCCTCACAACTCTACGACCTTCCTCCTCCTCCATCTACGCTCCCTCACCCATATCTTCAATCTCTCCCTCTCCTCCGGCACTTTCCCCTCCCCCCTGTCTGTAAACATGCACACATCACACCCCATACTGGAGGAGGCCCTCCCTGGACCCCAATGACCCGAACAACCTCAGACCCATCACCCTGCTCCCATTTACATCCTAAACTCCTCGAGCGCCTCGTCTACAATCACCTGAACCCCTCCCACCTCAACGACAACAACCTCCTCGATCCCCTACAGTCCGGCTTCCGTCCCCTACACTCCACCAAAACCGCCCTACACTCCACCGAAACCGCCTACACACTCCAACGAACCCGCCCTACACTCCACCGAAACTGCCCCCCGCCCCTACACTCCACCGAACCCGCCCCTACACTCCACCGAAACCGCCCTACACTCCACCGAACCCTCCCTACACTCCACCGAAACCGCTCCTACTACTCCACCGAACCGCCTTACTCAAACTCTCCAACGACCTGCTAACCGCCAAAGCTAATGACCACTATTCAGTCCTCCTACTCCTTGACCTCTCTGCGGCCTTCCACACAGTCCACCCCACCCCCTCCTCCTCAAAAAACTACACTCCCTCGGCCTCAGAGACTCCGCCCTCTCCTAGCTCTCATCCTACCTGTCACAGCGCTCTTTCAGTGTTACCTATAACGCTACCACCTCCCCCTCACTCCCCCTCTCTGTTGGGGTCCCTCAAGGCTCTGTCCTCGGGCCCCTTCTCTTCTCCAACTACACCTCCCCTTGGCCAACTCATACACTCTCACGGCTTCAACTACCACCTCTATGCCGAATGACACTCAATCTATCTCTCTACCCCCCCAATCCTCCCCCTCGGTCTCCGCCCCCCACCTCACCCCCTAGTCAGTTCCCGCCTGAATCACACACTACTGAGCGACATATCAGACTGGATGTCACTCCACTTCCTTTAAACTGAACCTCTCCAAAACCGAGTTTCTTGTCTTCCCCCCCCCAGCCCGGGACACCCCCCCCCCTCTGACTTCTCCATCACATCCAACAACGCCACCATCAAACCCGCCCCGCAGGCCAGAGTACTGGTGTCATTCTGGACTCCAACCTCTACTTCCAGCCTCAAGTCCAATCACTAACAAACTCGTGCAGACTCCACCTCTGCAACATGCAGACTCCACCCCCGCAACATGCAGACTCCGCCTCCGCAACATGCAGACTCCGCCTCCGCAACATGCAGAGTCCGCCTCCGCAACCAGAGTCCGCCTCCGCAACATGCAGACTCCGCCTCCGCAACATGCAGACCCCGCCTCCGCAACATGCAGACCCCGCCTCGCAAGAGACGCTCCGCCTCCGCAACAGACCCCGCCTCCGCCAACCATGCAGACTTCCGCCTCCGCAAAATGCAGACTCCACCTCCGCAACATCGCCAAAATCCGCACGGTTTCCTAACTCCAGAAACCACTAAACAGCTCATCCACTCCTCATCATATCACGACTCGACTACTGCAACTCCCTCCTCACTGGCCTGCCTCGCCACAGGCTATCCCCGCTTCAGTCCATCCTGAATAACGGCTGCCAGACTCATTCACCTTTCCAACCGCTCCCCCCCCCCACCCCCCTCTGCCAATCCCTCCACTGGCCTCCACTCAGTGTCCTCCACCCCCCACTGCCATCCCTCCACTGACCTCCACTCATTGTCCTCCTGCCACCTCTCTGCCAATCCCTCCACTGGCCTCCACCCCCCCTCTACCAATCCCTCCACTGGCCTCCACCCCCCTCTGCCAATCCCTCCACTGGCCTCCACCCCCCTCTGCCAATCCCTCCACTGGCCTCCACTCAGTGTCCTCCACCCCCTCTGCCAATCCCTCCACTGTCCTCCATTCAGTGTCCTCCACCCCCCACTGCCAATCCCTCCACTGACCTCCACTCTTTGTCCTCCACCCCCCCCTCTACCAATCCCTCCACTGGCCTCCACCCCCCTCTGCCAATCCCTCCACTGGCCTCCACCCCCCTCTACCAATCTCTCCACTGGCCTCCACCCCCCTCTGCCAATCTCTCCACTGACCTCCACTCAGTGTCCTCCACCCCTCTCTGCCAATCCCTCCACTGGCTTCCACTCAGTGTCCTCCACCTCTCTCTGCCAATCCCTCCACTGGCCTCCACTCAGTGTCCTCCACCTCTCTCTGCCAATCCCTCCACTGGCCTCCACTCAGTGTCCTCCACCTCTCTCTGCCAATCCCTCCACTGGCCTCCATTCAGTGTCCTCCACCCCTCTCTGCCAATCCCTCCACTGGTCTCCATTCAGTGTCCTCCACCCCCTCTCTGCCAATCCCTCCACTGGGCCTCCATTCAGTGTCCTCCACCCCTCTCTGCCAATCCCTCCACTGGCCTCCACTCAGTGTCCTCCACCCCCCTCTGCCAATCCCTCCACTGGCTTCCGATTACACAACGGATCAAATTCACAATCCTAACACTGACGTACAAAGCCGTCCACCATACTGCCCCGAACTACATCACTGACCTAATATCCAAGTACCACCCAACACGCACACTCCGCTCCTCACAAGACCTCCTTCTCTCTATTTCCCTGGTCTCCTCCTCCCATGCCCGCCTCCAGGACTTCTCCAGGGTGTCACCCATCCTCTGGAACTCCCTGCCCCAACCCATCAGACTATCACCTACTCTCCTCTCCTTTAGGCGCACTCTGAAAGCCCATCTCTTCAGCGAAGCCTACCCCACCCCTGCTAACTTGCCGACCTCCTTCACTCTTCCCACCACTCCATCCCCCACAGCTATCTCCTCCTGTGCCACCATCCCCTCCCTCCTAGATTGTAAGCTCCTAGGATCAGGGCCCTCGATCCCCTCATGTATCACATTGTATTGGTATTGTTCTGTCACATGTTCTGTCCCCTCTGTAATGTACAGCGCTGAGCCAACTATCGGCGCTTTATAAATACTGTATAATAATAATAGTCCTGCTCTGCCACCAACCTCAGGCATGCTGGGAAGAGGAGGTGATGCTGGGCCGAGCCAGTGCCCAGTCCTCTTGTATACGGCAGTATAACCCCTCTGATCTGAATTCCTGCGTACCTCCAAGAAAAGGATTGTATGGTATGTAGAAGGTCATATCATGGTGGCCTTGTCCACCTCAGAATATTGTCTCTGTATAAAGAAGTGTATATTTGTAGTGCTGAATGATAACTCTGTACCCACCTATGGATCTTGTTTACCCCCCCCCCCCCAGTCCCCCCCTCATCCCCCCAATATGTAGCATATTCCAGCCCCCATCTCCAGTCTGTCAAGCCTTATCTGTGCACACATCCACTTCTCATGGTATAGACCATGGCCATGGAGGAATGTATGGAAGATCTGACCACTGGAGCACCATACTAGCACAGGGTTTGTTATATAGGAACACACGTGGTCATTGTGGTTGGTGCACAAAACAGACCCCACCCCCAGTATGAACCTGGTCTGTCACCAACAATTCCCTACAGAACCCCAATTCAGATAATCATCCCATCCTTCTACATCATTCAGACTTGGGGTGTTTGTAGAACATGCCATGTATGTTTATGGACAACAGCTTCCTTACCACCTCTTCAAATCTGTGGCTCACCACCTCATCCAACCTATAGCTCACCACCTCATCCAGCCTGTGGCTTACCACCTCATCCACCTATAGCTCACCAACTCATCCAGCCTGTGGCTCACCACCTCATCCAGCCTGTGGCTCACCACCTCATCCAGCCTATAGCTCACCACCACATCCAGCCTGTGGCTCACCACCTCATCCAACCTATGGCTCACCACCACATCCAGCCTGTGGCTCACCACCTCATCCAACCTATGGCTCACCACCACATCCAGCCTGTGACTCACCACCGCACCCAGCCTGTGGCTCACCACCTCATCCAACCTGTGGCTCACCCCACATCCAGCCTGTGGCTCACCACCTCATCCAACCTATAGCTCACCACCTCATCCAGCCTGTGGCTCACCACCTCATCCACCTATAGCTCACCACCTCATCCAGCCTGTGGCTTCACCACCTCATCCATGGCTCACCACCACATCCAGACCTGTGGCTCACCACCACATCCAACCTGTGGCTCACCACCACATCCAGCCTGTGGCTCACCACCTCATCCAACCTGTGGCTCACCACCACATCCAGCCTGTGGCTCACCACCACATCCAGCCTGTGGCTCACCACCACATCCAGCCTGTGGCTCACCACCACTTCCAGCCTGTGGCTCACCACCACATCCAGCCTGTGGCTCACCACCACATCCAGCCTGTGGCTCACCACCTCATCCAGCCTGTGGCTCACCACCACATCCAGCCTGTGGCTCACCACCACATCCAGCCTGTGGCTCACCACCTCATCCAGCTGTGGCTCACCACCACTTCCAGCCTGTGGCTCACCACCACATCCAGCCTGTGGCTCACCACCTCATCCAGCCTGTAGCTCACCACCGCATCCAGCCTGTGGCTCACCACCTCATCCAGCCTGTGGCTCACCACCACATCCAGCCTATAGCTCACCACCACATCCAGCCTGTGACTTACCACCTCACTATACTCACCACCTCATCCAGCCTATAGCTCACCACCTCATCCAGCCTGTGGCTCACCACCTCATCCCACCTGTGGTTCACCCCCGCATGCAGTCTATGGCTCACCCCCACATCCAGCCTAGGTTTACCATCTCATCCAGCCTGTGGTTTTACCATCTCATCCAGCCTGTGGTTGACCATCTCATCCAGCCTGTGGTTTACCATCTCATCCAGCCTGTGGTTGACCATCTCATCCAGCCTGAGGTTGACCATCACAGTTGCCTATGGCTTCTATCTTGGGTTACTGAACCGTGAACAGACTGCCCATTGCCTCTTACATCATCCCAATAACACATCCCCCCTCCATTCATGGTATTAATATCACTGGTCTGTGTATGATTTCTGTGAGTAATGATACAATGCAATCAGCCACGCCCCTTTTTCTGACATGTTGCAGTTGTACTTTATACTGCCATCCAGGACCAAAGCTAATGAATTCTGTATGTGGATTGTTTATTCTCAGGGGTCTTCTAGTGGTGGAAAAGCAAGAGCCACGATCGCCCCGTTACCTTTGGTGTCCCCGCTTCCTCGTAAACGGGGGCCACACAGAGAGGACAACTCGCCCTCCAAGCTCAGATTTCTGCACGATGATGAGGAATAATTCTTCAGATACGACTTCACGCTTCAACGGCCGTGGATATCCCGAAGACTCCGCTCATAATGGTGGTCCAACGGCTGTGCTAGTAATCCAGAGCATGTTCTGCATGTGTTATCATCAAGGGTCCGGGGCCCGGCCCCACTTTGGGTCCAGTATTCAGTAATGATGAATTGGGGGAGGCCAGTCCTCCTTAGACGTTCTAGCATTCGCTAACAATGAGTTGGGGGGGGGGTTGGTCTAGAGCACAAGTTCTAAAGTTCTAGCATTCAGTAACAATGAGTTGGGGGGGGGGGGGGGGTTGGTCTAGAGCACAAGTTCTAGCATTTAGTAACAATGAGTTGGGGGGGGGGGGGTTGGTCTAGAGCACAAGTTCTAGCATTTAGTAACAATGAGTTGAGGGGGGGGGGGGGTTGGTCTAGAGCACAAGTTCTATCATTCAGTAACAATGAGTTGGGGGGGGGGGGGGTTGTTCTAGAGCACAAGTTCTATCATTCAGTAACAATGAGTTGGGGGGGGGGGGGGGGGTTGGTCTAGAGCACAAGTTCTAGCATTCAGTAACAATGAGTTGAGGGGGGGGGGGGGGGTTGTTCTAGAGCACAAGTTCTATCATTCAGTAACAATGAGTTGGGGGGGGTGGGGGGGGGGGGTTGGTCTAGAGCACAAGTTCTAGCATTCAGTAACAATGAGTTGAGGGGGGGGGGTTGTTCTAGAGCACAAGTTCTATCATCAGTAACAATGAGTTGGGGGGGGGGGGTTGGTCTAGAGCACAAGTTCTATCATTCAGTAACAATGAGTTGAGGGGGGGGGGGGTTGGTCTAGAGCACAAGTTCTATCATTCAGTAACAATGAGTTGGGGGGGGGGGGTTGGTCTAGAGCACAAGTTCTATCATTCAGTAACAATGAGTTGGGGGGGGTTGGTCTAGAGCACAAGTTCTATCATTCAGTAACAATGAGTTGGGGGGGGGTTGGTCTAGAGCACAAGTTCTATCATTCAGTAACAATGAGTTGGGGGGGGGGGGGTTGGTCTAGAGCACAAGTTCTATCATTCAGTAACAATGAGTTGAGGGGGGGGGGGGGGGTTGGTCTAGAGCACAAGTTCTATCATTCAGTAACAATGAGTTGAGGGGGGGTTGGTCTAGAGCACAAGTTCTAGCATTCAGTAACAATGAGTTGAGGGGGGGGGGGGTTGGTCTAGAGCACAAGTTCTAGCATTCAGTAACAATGAGTTGGGGGGGGGGGGGTTGGTCTAGAGCACAAGTTCTAGCATTTCAGTAACAATGAGTTGAGGGGGGGGGGGGTTTGTTCTAGAGCACAAAGTTCTATCATTCAGTAACAATGAGTTGGGGGGGGGGGTTGGTCTAGAGCACAAGTTCTATCATTCAGTAACAATGAGTTGACACACTTAGGGGGGGGGGGGGGGGTTTGTCTAGAGCACAAGTTCTATCATTCAGTAGTAACAATGAGTTGAGTTGGGGGGGGGGGGGGGTTTGTCTAGAGCACAAGTTCTATCATTCGGTAACAATGAGTTGAGGGGGGGGGGGGGGGGGTTTGTCTAGAGCACAAGTTCTATCATTCGGTAACAATGAGTTTGGGGGGGGGGGGGTTGGTCTAGAGCACAAGTTCTAGCATTCAGTAAACAATGAGTTGGGGGGGGGGGGGTTGGTCTAGAGCACAAGTTCTATCATTCAGTAACAATGAGTTGGGGGGGGGGGGGTTGGTCTAGAGCACAAGTTCTAGCATTCAGTAACAATGAGTTGGGGGGGGGGGGGGGTTGTTCTAGAGCACAAGTTCTATCATTCAGTAACAAATGAGGGGGGGGGGGGGGGGGTTGGTCTAGAGCACAAGTTCTATCATTCAGTAACAATGAGTTGAGGGGGGGGTTGGTTCTAGAGGTTCTATCATTCAGGAGTTGGGGGGGGTTGGTCTAGAGCACAAGTTCTATCATTCAGTAACAATGAGTTGGGGGGGGGGGGGGGGTTGGTCTAGAGCACAAGTTCTATCATTCAGTAACAATGAGTTGAGGGGGGGGGGGGGGTTTGTCTAGAGCACAAGTTCTATCATTCGGTAACAATGAGTTGAGGGGGGGGGGGGGGGTTTGTCTAGAGCACAAGTTCTAGCATTCAGTAACAATGAGTTGAGGGGGGGGGGGGGGGGGGTTGGTCTAGAGCACAAGTTTCTATCATTCAGTAACAATGAGTTGGGGGGGGTTGGTCTAGAGCACAATGTTCTAGCATTCGCTAACAATGAGTTGAGGGGGGGGTTGGTCTAGAGCACAAGTTCTATCATTCAGTAACAATGAGTTGAGGGGGGGGGGGGTTTGTCTAGAGCACAAGTTCTATCATTCAGTAACAATGAGTTGGGGGGGGGGGGGGGTTTGTCTAGAGCACAAGTTTCTATCATTCGGTAACAATGAGTTGAGGGGGGGGGGGGGGGGGGTTTGTCTAGAGCACAAGTTCTATCATTCGGTAACAATGAGTTGGGGGGGGGGGGGGGGGTTTGTTAGAGCACAAGTTCTAGCAGCATTCGGTAACAATTTTGTTGGGAAGGTCAGTCTCCACCCAAGATGTAGAATTTAGGTAACTGGGGGGGGGGTTAGTACAGCTCACACAAGTTGTAGCATTTGGTTAATGATGAGTTGGGAGGAGTTCAGGACCACCTCACAGGTTCGCTAATGTTGAGTTTGGGGGGTCAGTCCTGCTCACAAGTTCTAGCGCTCGGGTAACGATTGGTTTGGGGGGGGGGGTCCTTACTCACAAGTTCTAGCGCTCGGGTAACGTTTGTTTGGGGGGTCAGTCCTGCTCACAAGTTCTAGCGCTCGGTAACGATTGGTTTGGGGGGGTCAGTCCTGCTCACAAGTTCTAGCGCTCGGTAACGATTGGTTTGGGTTGGGGGGTCAGTCCTGCTCACAAGTTCTAGCGCTTCGGTAACGATTGGTTTGGGGGGGTCAGTCCTGCTCACAAGTTCTAGCGAATTTCGGTAACGATTGGTTTGGGGGGGTCAGTCACTGCTCACAAGTTCTAGCGCTCGGTAACGATTGGTTTGGGGGGGTCAGTCCTGCTCACAAGTTCTAGCGCTCGGTAACGATTGAGTTTGGGGGGGTCAGTCCTGCTCACAAGTTCTAGCGCTCGGTAACGATTGGTTTTGGGGGGGTCAGTCCTGCTCACAAGTTCTAGCGCTCGGTAACGATGGTTTGGGGGGGGTCAGTCCTGCTCACAAGTTCTAGCGCTCGGTAACGATGAGTTTGGGGGGGTCAGTCCTGCTCACAGGTTCTAGCGCTCATGGGTAACGATTGGTTTGGGGTGGGGGGGTCAGTCCTGCTCACAAGTTCTAGCGCTCGGTAACGATTGGTTTGGGGGGGTCAGTCCTGCTCACAAGGTTCTAGCGCTCGGTAACAATGAGTTTTGGGGGGGGTCAGTCCTGCTCACAGGTTCTAACACTGCGGGGAGGAGTTCTGTATAATACAGAAAATTATAAAAGTCTGTAATCATCGGTGCTGATGTGTTTTTTCCTGCCCTGGGGGAATTGCCCACTTACCTCACATACTAGGATCTGACTTGCCCACTTACCTCACATACTAGGATCTGAATTGCCCACTTACCTCACATACTAGGATCTGAATTGCCCACTTACCTCACATACTAGGATCTGAATTGCCACTTACCTCACATACTAGGATCTGAATTGCCCACTTACCTCTCATACTAGGATCTGATTTGCCCACTTACCTCACATACTAGGATCTGACTTGCCCACTTACCTCACACACTAGGATCTGAATTGCCCACTTACCTCACATACTAGGGTCTGACTTGCCCACTTACCTCATACGGGGTCTGACTTGCCCACTTACCTCACATACTAGGATCTGACTTGCCCACTTACCTCACATACTAGGATCTGAATTGCCCACTTACCTCACATACTAGGATCTGACTTGCCCACTTACCTCACATACTAGGATCTGAATTGCCCACTTACCTCACATACTAGGATCTGACTTGCCCACTTACCTCACATACTAGGATCTGACTTGCCCACTTACCTCACATACTAGGATCTGAATTGCCCACTTACACATTATCTCATTGCCCACTTACCTCACTACTAGGATCTGACTTGCCCACTTACCTCACATACTAGGATCTGACTTGCCCACTTACCTCACATACTAGGATCTGACTTGCCCACTTACCTCACACACTAGGATCTGAATTGCCCACTTACCTCACATACTAGGGTCTGACTTGCCCACTTACCTCACATACTAGGATCTGATTGCCCACTTACCTCACATACTAGGATCTGAATTGCCCACTTACCTCACATACTAGGATCTGACTTGCCCACTTACCTCACATACTAGGATCTGAATTGCCACACTTACCTCACATACTAGGATCTGAATTGCCCACTTACCTCACATACTAGGATCTGACTTGCCCACTTACCTCACATACTAGGATCTGAATTGCCCACTTACCTCACATACTAGGATCTGAATTGCCCACTTACCTCACATACTAGGATCTGAATTGCCCACTTACCTCACATACTAGGATCTGAATTGCCCACTTACCTCACATACTAGGATCTGAATTGCCCACTTACCTCACATACTAGGGTCTGACTTGCCCACTTACCTCACATACTAGGGTCTGACTTGCCCACTTACCTCACATACTAGGGTCTGACTTGCCCACTTACCTCACATACTAGGGTCTGACTTTGCCCATTTTGCTTCCTAGCAGAACAATGGAATAACTTTGATGTACGTTGGATGGGGATTGTAAGATGACCAGAAGACATTTCTTGTAGATAGTATGGAAGTGGCAGCAACATTGTGTTGGTCCAGGAGATTCCACTCTACTGTCTCTTCCTCTCCCAGGAATCCTCATTTCTCAGCTGTCCTTGTGACTGGGTGTACCTGAAGATGAAATAAAGGCAAAAGAAACAAGAAGGGAAAAGGCATTACCATGTTTGTCAGTCTGATGGGCCAGTGCTTG